ACCTGTCCTGTCTGGGAATCATCTGAACACAGGAGTCTGTGGTTTGCTTATGACTGAGCCTCTCACACTGAGGGTCCCCAGTTGGAAAGCAGCTCCATGAAGAAGAGATGTTTTTGTTGCAAAGTGTCAGGAAGATGATTAAGGGTGAAAAGGTTTTTCTTTTGATTTGATATTCACCTTCTGCCAGCAAAGAGGACACCACTTTCTATAATTTTAAGAGACTTTGGCAGAAAGAAAATGTTTTAGTTCCCTTTGTGACACAGAAGGAACTGAATCATGTGATAGCTTGAGTTCTGTTTCCCTGTTGTAAACAGGCCTGGGATCCCCTCCCCGCCTCTCACACAATGTCAGTGAGTTAAACACAAATGCAGTTAGTGAATTACAGACTGTTTAGATTGGGTTTAGTTTTAAACTGAGACTGCTAGTGCCTTTGAAGGAAGGTCCATTGTATATGGGGTATAAGTCAAATGAAAGACAAATTATTATAACAATTAAGGCTAATTCTGTTTGGGAATCAAACTATTGAGGGAAAGGGCAGCTAAAATCAGACCTTTTATTGCTGTTTCTTCTAAGAGCAGCCTAGGATTTACTTTGAAATGTTTTTAAGCAAAATAATCTAAAAATAGATTATTAGCATAAAAATAAGCAGTCTTCCTTAGAAATTGGAGTGGAAACAAAGAAAATTTTCAAATTTCTCTTTGTAATAGACATGACTGAGAAATGATGAGCTCTCACCTTCCGGCCTGTGAGAAGGGAACAGATAATAGGACATTGTGATTGTGGGTATGAAAAACATTCCTGTAAACCAGAAGAGTGTGCAGTTACACAGTGGTGTTCATTACTTGCATCATACAGCCTCAGCGGTGAGTCCACCTGCCACAGGCGTCTCACGTTTCAGTCTAAGTGATGTGCTTGCCGTTGCCCACTATGCTCGGGCTCTGTGCCCACTGGGTCTTTACAGAGGAGCCCTGGCAGCGCAGTGCTTAAGCGCTCAGCTGCTAACCAAATAGTTCGAACTCCCCAGCTGCTTCATGGGAGAAAGAGGTGGCAGTCTGCTTCCGTAAAGATTACAGCCTTGGGGACTCTACTCGGCAGTTCTGTTCTTACGAGGTCGCCATGAGTTGGAATTGACCGATGCAAAGGGGTGCTTTCCCAGTGTGCAGTCAGGATTCTGTCAGGTGAACTAGAGGGCTGACTCATATTTCTTTAAACCCCTGGCAGGTCATTCTTCTTATCTCCAGTGTCTGTCGTTTCACCTTCGGTTTGCCCTCTTCCCCTAAGTGGGGCTGGTGGTCAGTAGCTGTTGAGTCAGTTCTGACCCATCATGACCCCATGTGCTACAGAGTAGGGCTGCTCTGTAGGGTTTTTGTGGCCATAACCTTAACTCCCCAGGCTTTTTCTTCCACAGTACTCCTGGGTGGGCTCACACCTTTAACCACTCAACTGCTAACCATTTGCCCCACCTATGTACCCCTCTATCTCAAGAGAGGATTGGCGAGCTTAGATGGACTGGGGAGTGGGGAGCAGCTTTTGGCAAGGAGGAGTCACTCCTGCAGGTGGAAGGTTTTCTTGCAGGCCCTTCAGGTGCATGCTTTTGAGGTTCATCCAGGGGTTTTCCCAGACCTAGTTCTGCTTTAGTCGAGCAGATAGGAAAAGATACAGACAGTATGGTGGACAACGAGTTAACATTTACTAAGTGATTGGTGCAGTTATGTGGTGTGTGTGTGTGTGTGTGTGTGTGTTTGTGTTTAAATCAGGCTGCTTCCTGTTATGTGTGCACAAAACAGAAAGATAGTGAAAATCGTAAACTAGTCTTCCATGCATTTATAAAAATACCTGCCAGTCGCACTGCAGATCTGAACGGCTGTTGATGACCAAGTTTGGTTTCATGCGGTGACCTTTCATCATTCTTGTGGTTGTGTGTCCTGGGCCCACCACCCACTGAGTATTTGAACTGTTACTGTGTTCTTTTTGTTCCTGAACTGACTGCCTTCTGGTATGAGGAATGGAAACCCATTATATGATTGTCTTTTGCTGAGCAGAATCATGAGGAGAGAGCAAATGACATAGTGTGTGATTCAAAGCAAGGACGGCAAGGGTGCCTCAAACTGGAGAGACTGGGGGGAGCCCAGCCACTGCGTGGGGACGTTTTAGAACCTGGGTCCAGTCTTGGAAACAGTGGCTGCATAGACACCCTCCTGCTCGGCCCTTTGAGTTTTGGTGGTGGGACGATTCATGACCCTGCATCTTGGACTTTCTGTAAACAGTCATCTACAAACTTGGATCCCACGGCTCCAGAGAGTCTAGAGGTGTATCCCAGGGGCGCTTTGCTGTCAATATTCACAATTGTGATTGGATGGTTAAAAAATTAAAATGGCCGCTAGGGATTATCGGTAAGTGGATGAGTTCTTAAGTTGATGAACTGTCTGATGTGGATTTTCCATGCCCCAAATTTTGCAGTTTAAATAAGCAGTTTTGTTTAAAAGAAAATCATAAATCACAGACCTTGAACTGGGCATGACTTCGGGGCAACACTTCCATATCTTGTTTCCTGCACGTCTTTTATTTTAGCTCTAGTTTGATGCTGGCTGTGTTTTTCCTGTCTGGTCTGATGGGCACCCATTTGAGAGCAGGTGGCCATCCAGCGGAGAGCACACATGGTTTGCTAAGGAACACGTACGAGCTGTACTTGGCTCAGTGTTAACGGAGACATGTGGATAGAAGGGGAGTTATCTGTCAGCTCCCATTGAGCCTTAAGTGTTTATTCCATCTTCAACAGCAGTTTTCCCACCACATTCTTACCAGTGTTTGAATATGTCCCCAGAGTGAGTTTCTGTCCTGAGGGTGTCTTAGGCACTGTTGATGTTTACTTTCACACAGACATGTCTAGTCTGTCCAGAGAAGAAGTGCTTCCTTGACCCAAATATGAGTACTTTGGATGAGGAATGCATGAATCGTTACACATTGTGCAAGAAACAAAATCAGTCAGTACTTGAGAGAATGTAGTACATAGTAGAAAGGGGAAGTTGAACAGTGTGTACAGCTGAGGCTTACTCTTTCCTTGAAGGAGGCTGCTGAAGTCACCTGTCACCCTGCCTGTCCCTCACTGGTCTCTGCTTGACTCCTTTCTTCCTTCTCTGCCTCCTTTTCTGATCTGTCTGCTCTTCTTTTCCCCTTTCCCCCTCCTGGCTGCTCACCTCATCTGCAGAAGGAAGGAACAGGTTCAAGGAGATTCCCTAACCTGTCGAGTGACATCTCGGAGCTCTAGTGTGACGGAGCTGTGTCTAGGCCCATTTGGTTACAAACCGACCATTCTGTTCTGGCTCCTGACTTGTGGTGTGTTACTTGGCACTTACGATGTAGAGATGAGACATTGCCTGACCTCTCGGGCACCTTACAGGCGAGTAGGTAAGAAGCACTAGTGCACGCTGTGTAGGTGCTGGCTGCTGTTGGGGGAATTCCAGCTGGTGGCAGCCGCACGTACCCTCTGCACTACATGCCAGGAACTAATGGAATCATACGGGGGAGTGCCGTGGCAGTTCTGGGAAGAGAAAACCCTCCGCTTTAGTGGATGTTTGATCCCTCCATATCCCCTGTCTTGCTCAGGTGGGGTGCAAGGTCCCCTGTAGAGACTCCAAGCATCATGTATAATACTGTCACCTTGAGTAATGGCTGCGAATGTTTTTTTTCCTACAACCAGCCTTCCTCTTCCATCCAAGCCTGTGTGGACGTCAGTGGTAGCACATCTTCACGGAACGCTGCCCGCCCTGATCTAGCCCGAATGCCAAAGCGGGCTCTTCCCCCAGCTCTGCCCTGCCGTTGGGGCCCTGCTGTAACTTGCCGAGAGTCATTTTATGGCAGGGTCTTTCTCAGCTGCTGGAGCCACTGGGGCCAGGGTTCTGGGTGAGTGGCCATTAGGGCCACTAAAGGTAAACACTAAAAGGAGGGAAGAAGGGACACAATTCTTTCCCCCAGGAGAAGTTAGGATTAAATTAGGATCTTACTAAAAATCGGTGGAATCCTCCTTGGGGATTTTATTTTTATAAACGCAGGTAGAACTTTATTAACACTAGACATCCTGTGATGCGTTGATGCTAGTTTCTTCTGTGGATGAGTATTGAATCTGTAATTGGTTCTTCAATTGTAACCTATTTCTTTTAATGTGGTATCCCGAAACACAGTCCAGGACCATATCTGATGAGGGCTCCAGTACTGATAATTTTGCCAGTGGAATTGAATGCTTTCATGGTGGAAATGTTTTTGGAAGTATCTTTTTAGAAAGAGAGTATGATAAATCCAGTAAGAAATAACCCATCTTCTACTTGCTACACCAAAACCTGCTTTTCTCTTACCCCAGCAGGGTCAGTCTGCTTCACTGTGATTGGATAGGAGCTGTGTTGGTAATGTTGATCTTAGGCCCTGTGCAGTCGGTTTCAACTCACAGTGAACCCATCACAGAATAGAGCTGACCCCATGTGGTTTCCTAGGCTGTGATCTGTATGAGGAGCCCCCGTGGCACAGTGGTGAAGCTCTGTGGAAAGGCTGGTGATTTGAACCCAGCAGCTGCCCTGCAGGAGAGAGATGGGGCAGTCGGCTTCTGTAAAGATTACAGCCTTGGAAACCCTCTGGGGCAGTTCTGTAGGGTCGCGATGAGTTGGAATCAGCTTTACAGGAGCAGATCAGTAGTAGGTGGATTTGAACCTCCACCCTTCTAGTCAGCAGTCGAGCAGTTCACCACTGCTCCACCAGGGCTCTTTACACCAGTAACACTCCACAGCATTTTGGGGAATTGCTTTTGAAGCTCTACTTATGAATATTTTGAATATACTCTGTGTGTGTATGTTCACTTTGACGCAGATTTCCATAGTAATACAATATGCAGTTACCAACTTGCTCTTTCTGGGTAATCATCACTTTGTACCGTAAATCCTGCAGGGCTATTGATCTCATCATTACACAGTGTTACTTGCTGATGGAAGTGTTTTCTGTTCCTTTAACAGAACATCTGATCAAATTCATGACCATGGGGGATATGAAGACCCCAGACTTTGATGACCTCCTGGCAGCCTTTGACATCCCAGATATGGTCGATCCTAAAGCAGCAATTGAGTCTGGACACGATGACCATGAGAGCCACATCAAACAGAACACTCATGTAGATGACGACTCCCACACACCCTCGTCTTCCGACGTTGGCGTCAGTGTTATCGTCAAGAATGTTCGGAACATTGATTCCTCCGAGGGTGTGGAGAAAGATGGCCATAACTCCACAGGCAATGGCTTACATAATGGGTTTCTTTCCGCATCTTCTCTGGATAGTTACGGTAAAGATGGAGCAAAGTCCTTGAAAGGAGACGTGCCTACCTCAGAGGTGACTTTAAAGGACTCAACTTTCAGCCAGTTCAGCCCCATCTCAAGTGCTGAAGAGTTCGATGATGATGAGAAAATCGAGGTGGATGACCCCCCAGACAAGGAGGAGACGCGCACAAATTTTAGATCAAATGTGTTGGCGGGATCCGTTTCCCACCAGGACTATGACAAACTGAAGGCCCTTGGAGGGGAAAGCTTAAGCAAAATGGGAATCACTCCTTCAGGCAATATAGATAAAAACAAAGTTGTTAAAAGAGAATCAGAAACCAATTCTATAAATCTGAGTGTTTATGAGCCTTTTAAAGTCAGAAAAGTGGAGGACAAATTGAAGGAAAACTCTGAAAAGGTGCTTGAAAACAGGGTACTTGACGGAAAGTTGAGCTCCGAGAAGAGTGACACTAACCTCGCCGGTGTCACCCAGTCGAAGACAAAGTCGTCCTCCAAGCTCTCGTCATGTATAGCTGCAATTGCAGCCCTTAGCGCTAAGAAGGCCGCATCTGACTCTTGTAAAGAACTGGTGACCAATTCAAGGGAGTCCTCTCCGTTACCGAAAGAAGTCAACGATAGTCCAGTAGCCGTGGAAAAGTCCCCTGAATCCCAGAGTCTCATCGATGGGGCGAGGAAAGCATCCACAAAGCAACCGGACAGTCCCAGGAGTGTTTCAAGTGAAAACAGCAGCAAGGGGTCCCCGTCCTCTCCCGCAGGATCGACACCGGCCATTCCCAAAGTCCGCATAAAGACCATCAAGACTTCATCTGGAGAGATAAAGAGAACAGTGACCAGAGTGCTGCCGGAAGTCGACCTCGATTCTGGGAAGAAGCCTTCTGAGCAGACAGCGTCCATGATGGCGTCTGTGACGTCCCTTCTGTCGTCTCCAACTTCGGCCGCTGTCCTTTCCTCTCCCCCCAGGGCGCCTCTCCAGTCGGCGGTCGTTACCAATGCAGTGTCCCCTGTAGAGTTGACACCCAAGCAGGTCACAATTAAGCCTGTGGCCACTGCCTTCCTCCCAGTTTCTGCTGTGAAGACGGCAGGCTCTCAAGTCATCAATTTGAAGCTCGCTAACAACACGACAGTGAAAGCCACGGTCATATCTGCTGCCTCTGTTCAGAGCGCCAGCAGCGCCATCATCAAAGCTGCCAACGCCATCCAGCAGCAAACTGTTGTGGTGCCAGCATCCAGCCTGGCCAATGCCAAACTTGTGCCAAAGACTGTGCACCTTGCCAACCTTAACCTCCTGCCTCAGGGTGCCCAGGCCACCTCTGAACTCCGCCAAGTGCTAACCAAACCTCAGCAACAAATCAAGCAGGCAATAATCAATGCAGCAGCCTCACAGCCACCGAAGAAGGTGTCTCGAGTCCAGGTGGTGTCCTCCTTGCAGAGTTCCGTGGTGGAAGCTTTCAACAAGGTGCTGAGTAGTGTCAATCCAGTCCCAGTTTACATCCCGAACCTCAGTCCTCCTGCTAACGCCGGTATCACGTTACCGACGCGTGGTTACAAGTGCTTGGAATGTGGTGACTCCTTTGCGCTCGAGAAGAGCCTAACCCAGCACTATGACCGACGGAGCGTGCGCATCGAAGTGACGTGTAACCACTGTACAAAGAACCTAGTTTTTTACAACAAGTGCAGCCTCCTGTCCCACGCTCGTGGGCATAAGGAAAAAGGCGTCGTGATGCAGTGTTCCCACTTAATTCTGAAGCCAGTCCCAGCAGATCAGATGATCGTTTCTCCGACGAGCAATACTTCCGCTTCTTCTTCCACTCTGCAGAGCTCTGTGGGAGCTGGCACACACACGGTGACGAAAATCCAGTCTGGCATAACTGGGACCGTCATATCTGCTCCTTCCAGCACACCCATCATTCCAGCCATGCCTCTCGATGAAGACCCGTCCAAACTCTGCAGACACAGTCTCAAATGTTTGGAGTGTAACGAAGTTTTCCAGGACGAGACGTCACTTGCTACACATTTCCAGCAGGCTGGGGATGCGAGTGGACAAGTAGAGTATCATTTCCATTGGGTGTGTCAGTGACGAGTCTGCAGCCATGAGTGCTCCGTACAGTGTCCTTGGTTGGAGGGGTGGAACTTAGTTCAGTGGACAGGAGTGTGTGTATGTGTGTGTGGGGGGGTGTGTATGTATGCACAGAAGAAGGAG